GTCACTCCTTTAATGTTGCCAGCTCATCAAGTTACAAAACTATTTGAGGGTAGATCACATTTTTTTTGGTCTAGAACACAACCCATCAACATCTGGCGGAGCTGTGTTCCCATCCAACGTGGGTACCTTTCCTCTAAAACTAGCGATCTCTCAACCAATGGATTAAGGAAATGATACCTTTAGAAAGTAACTTCCCAAGGTCACTCACCTAGTTAGGACAGCCAAGCCTGACTCACTGGTCTCCTGACTCCCTAACAAGCACTGGTTACTTCCATGATTTTGTACTCATTTCTTCCAGCCCTTCCTTGCCCCCAAGTCCTAATCAAATAACACCTTCTTAACTCATCTTTTTTCTGTGCATTCTTCACTATTCCTTCTTCTTAGAATGTTCTCCCCATCCCGCATTCCTTCCCTGTCTCTGCAAATCACTTCAGCCTTCTAGGCCCCACCTTCCCCATCAAGCCTTCTCAAACACTTCAGCCAATGGCACCACCCCTTCTCTGAAAGCCTGCTGCACTTAGCTGGTATAAGGCATTCGAGGACAGCCTGTTTCAATACTGTTTTGCAGGTGCAGAACTTAATTTATCAACTAAACGACACACTCCATCAAGATGCTACATATATTTTACGTTTCTTTGTAGTCTTTCTAGTGCTTTGCACATATCAAGCATTCCATAAATATTTGCTGACTGATACAAGGATTATGATTAATGCTGTTTTTAAATAACTGAATATGTGAGATTTGACCACAATAAATTATTAGAGCCTATTAACAAGGCATATAATAAGTAAAACAAATTCTGTAGTCTATGTACACGACTGATGTGTAGCTAGGCAATGAAGACCACGTGAAAGTCTCAGTTTGATCCTCTATCCACCAGAAATAAGTCTTCCTTAATTTTCACAAGCCTGCAGAGCTCCAACTGGCCTCCTGTCTGCTAATCCCACCAGTTTCATCATTGCTTCCCTTGGTCAGCTGTACAAAAGGAGGCTGCACTAAGAACCCAGGGCACAACAGAGGAGTGAGGGGGAAAATAATGGATTTGCAAAGCCAAATTTTTCAGCTACAGTGCCCACATGGCTTACTAATTGATTCTACACAGAAAGAAACCCAAATAAGAACAGAAAGACAGTATCTGACAGTACTAGGATACACTGACGGGACTAGAACCTCAGCATTTCCATTTACACTTTCTGCTAGAAGCCACTTTTTTTTTTTAAGGAGGCATGACAACTGGGGATATTCACTCTCAACCTATTATTCAAAGAATGTCCAAATAAACAATACCATATACGAATGGTAATTCTGCTTCTCAAATGCCTGATGAAAAGAACACCGCATTCAACTTTAGCCTCCTCACCTACCCTCTTATCTTCTATCATAAGACTCTTCACAATCACATACTTGAACTTCAGGGCACAATTACTCAAGAGAAGTGTCCCTGCAGAATATGAAACTACCTCAGCCAGTCTCGCTGCCCATAAAGTGTGGGACTTCTCAAACCACCCCCAAAGCTTTCATCATCTTAAATAAGAATCAAACAACAGTGAAAAAACAATCAACATAAAAATGCTGGTTCTCATTAGGCCAGTTTCTTACTTTTGTTCCAGCATTAGTAAAACCATAGTTGGACTGGAACTATTTATATCATCAGTACATTCATTATGAGTTAGGAGACTCTTAAAAGGGAAGTCAAAATCAGCTACTCAAGACAAAATCATGGAGTCAAATAATGTGTCCACTAACACCCAATGTATAGTGCTCCCCAGTCTGCTAGCTATTGCTCTGAACTGGCATAAGGTATAAGCCTAGTTGTGCAAGCCAACATTTCTGGTTTCTTATCAAAACATCATACTAGCAGCAGCCTCGATAATACGTGGTGACAAGTGTTTTCATTTCTAAACACCAGGCACAAAAACTTAGTATGTATTTAGGGTAACTTAGCATCTATAATAATTCTTAACATTTACAAGCACTCCTGTAACATACATTTCTGTCCAAGTTCATAGTTAAGTTGCCTGTTTCCTAATAAGCCCTCATATTTCATGGTGATAGTTGAATAAAGCTTCGAAAAAAAGTACAGTAGGGCACCACACGTTTTATTTTAATGATCACTACACACGTTTGACCATCCAACATGGACACAAGTATGCAGCAAAGAGATCCACCTTTGCCCACAGAACCAGATACACATGATGATTTTTATTCTCTACTGTGTTTTTAATCTGAAAAGTTTATTTACAGCTTTCATACAAAAGCTGGGTCTCAAATGTGAACACTGACAGGATATTTGATGATATTAGGGAACTACTGTTTACTTGGGTGTGATAATGGGGTTTTGGGTGTTTTTTTTTAAGTCATTACCATTTAGAGATGCATACAAAAATATTGACATATTTCTCATATCACATCTGGGAGTGAGGCGTGAGTAGATGGGATATAAGTGAAACAAGGTAAGGCATGAGTTGGTAGTTGCTGAACCTGCGTGTAGGGTACACTGGAGTTTATGAAATGTTCTCTACTTTTGTATATGATTAATTTTTTCTATAAAGTATTAAGGAAACTTTTTTAAAAGTTAGACCTTTAGACCCACACACAGATACATAAGTGATATTTAGACATGATGGTAGCGTAGTATTCAGTTAACCAAAGTAAAGTGGGTTTTGAATCTAGAAACGTGGCAGAAAAAATAATCACAGCAAGAAAAGGAATGGTATTAATGGTAAACTATGAACTTGGTCTTCTTTTAAAATTAAGTTTTGTTAAGCCCAAAGAAACTAGAATGGGCACATTTTCTTACAAAAGGCAAACAAATAGATATATATATAATACATCACACACCCAGTCAAATATCTAGTTATTCGAAATAAAAATGATCAAAAACAACTGTGTAAGTTAAATCTATCTCCACTTGGCCTTCAAAAATACTCATGGGGCTCTGCTGGCCTTTCTTGCTTACTTGCTGAGGGGCCACAGGGCAGCCCAGGGTAACCCTACAGAAGGCAGAACCACTTGTAAGTAGCTGTTACAAATACTGTCCTAAACTAACACAGAGAGCAATGGTGAACCAAATTCTAGGTAATGTTTTCTATTAGCATACAATGCTGTCATTTGGATTCCTATTTTAAATCAAGAGAGAGAGAGACAGAGAAAGAGGTCACACTGTTCAGTACCCTCCCACTTTGGCAAAGTTGAAGTCACAGTTTGAATTATCCCAATAAGTGTTGAGCCTCAACACTCAAAACGATTGTGTTAGATCCATTTTAGCCAAGAAAGCACCAGTTCTAGAACCAAAGGGTAACTTGATTCAATCACTAACATCAAAATCTATGGCCACCAATACAACCAACCACCCTCCCTTCCTCTTCAACCACTCACTGGCTGCCATCCACCACCATCACCACCAGTAGCCCAACCAAAAAACAGTTCAAACAGAAAAGAAAAACCTTGACAGGGGAAGGCTTCCTTTTAAAAGATATTTAAACCTGACACACACACACACACACACACACACAGCAATCAAAACCTGTACAGCTACTGCATGTGAGATTTAAGCTGTCATTAACAAAGCTTGCATTAGATCATCTCAAACAATAATACCATAATAACAGGAAAAAACCAAAGGGAAAGGGAAAAGTTTCCTTCAGGAACACCAAACCACCGTATCAGGTGCATGAAAGGCTAGAAACCAACTCTTATCTTGGTTTTGTGCTTAAGAAACCTGGGCCAACTGCAGAATCTCAAAGCCCTGTGTGTGTGTGTGTGTGTGTGTGTGTGTGTGTGTGTGTGTGTGTGTCTGTCTGTGTGGTGTTGAGGGTGGGAACAGGAAGGTATAGGGAGGAAAAAAGGGGCATTACATTTATAGAGGCCAATGACCTATGCCAGCACCAAGTCTGATCTTCCAGGTAAAGACAGTTTTCCCCTGACCCCTGAACAGTCTCTTTCTAACTCCCCCCACCCCTCCAGGAGCGGTTAGCTGGCAGGAAAATGTGCACTTGGAAATCAGCACTGCAGGTGCCCAAGGAATAAAGAAAGACACACACACATATAGTATATATACACACACAAAGCCAATCAGAGAGAAAAAAAGAAGAAACGCTCAAAAAAGGAAAGGAAGATGGACAATTGGGTGACAAGCCCTTTGGATACCAGCTAGGATTTTTTTCTTTCCTTCCACCAGTGCTCCCTGGTGTACCTTTTTCTGTCCTTTAACCAAATTGCTCATGTACACACACACACACGTGTATATATCTATATGTACGTGCACAGATAATACTATAATTAACCCTTTCTGTAATAGAGCCCCATACAGAATGCAGAAAGATATTCCATCCTTTCCTCTCTTGCTCCCCTCCTCCCTCCTTTCTCCCAACCAGGAGAAAACGCCCCCTTCCCCAGCTTCACCAAAAAAATAAATAAATAAATAAATAATAAAAAAGGCAGGGGAGGGGGACAGAGAAACCACAAAACCCCATCAGTCTCCAGTCCCGAGGACACCCAGGAAAGGTATATAGGGGACACACACACACACACACACACACACACACACACACACACACACACGGACATATGGCTCTCTAGAAAGCACACAGCGAACCGTCCACAGAAGCCCCAAACCCCGCAAAGAGACTTCCACCAGCCAAGAAGCCATGATTGGGGAGGGAGAGGAAGGAGTAGGGGCACAGCTATCCATGGAGGGGGGCGCATTGTTGTGATGCCTGAACCCCTTTCTCTCTGCCCATCTGCTGTGGAGGGGGCGCAGGGAGGGGGCGCAGGGGAAAGGCGAATGAGGAAACGAGGAGACCAGGCAAGGCTTTGCGATTCCCTCCTGCTGCCTGTCTGCCCGCGCCCCCAGCTACCCCCAACAATAAGACCTCAGCCTAGACAGACAGACAGACAGCCAGACCCGTCAGAGCGCGGCGGGGGAAGCAGCAGAGCCGGGCGCAGCCGAGTGGGGTCGTGCATAAAGGGAAACCGGGGGGAGGGGGGTTCCCCTTACCTCCAGCGCTTCAAAAGTGACAAAGCTGGTCATGGCAAATCCATCAATGATGTCCTCTTCGGCTGAGGTGGACTCTCTCCGCTTCCTCCGCGGGGGTCTGGGCCGGGACGGGGCGGAGGACGGGGGCTTCCCATTGTCTTCCTTGTCGGAGCCCGACGACGAGGCGAGCGAGGGCGCCCGGGTCCTGCCGGCCCCTCCGCCACCGGCCGCGCCGGCCCCCAGCCCGCCCCGGGAGCGCCTCTCCCGGTCTCGCTGCGATCGCGACCGCCGCTTTTTGCGGAGTCCATGGCCCCGCGTCGGGCCATCCATGGCTCTGCCGCGCCGGGGTCTCCCCGCTCGCTGCCTGCCCGCCAAAGGCTCCGGCCGCGGCCACACAAAAAAATTGACACCAACCCCTCCCTCCCCCTTCTCGGCTTCCCTCCGCCCCGAGGAGGGCGCGGGGGAGACGGCGGCCGAAAGAAGGGAGAGAGGGGAAGAAAGAGAGGAGAAAGAAAAGGGGGAAGGGGCGGAGAGAGGGAGGAGGGCCGGGAGCGAGGGCTAGAGGCAAGGAGCCCAAGTGCGGGGCTGCCCACCGCACCGAGGGTCGGAGATTCCTGTGAGGGGCGCCGAGCAAAGTAATGGCTGAACACACAGGTCTCCTTTAGAGGGAAAAAAAAAATAACTCACCAAGCAGGCAATAAATCAGAATAGCGGAATGCTTTGATCAAGAAACTGGGAGGCTCCGGGGAGCCCTCCCCGCAGCCATTCTCCGCCGCGTCCCCCGGCCCCCGAAAACGCCTGCCCCTCGAGTCAAAACCCGGTCCGAAAAGGTCGCGGGAAAGTGGGGGCAATGAACTTCACCCGCCCCTCGCGCAGGAAAACACCCCCGCCGCCTCTCACACACGCCTCGGAGAAAACTCACTCCCAGGCTCCCAAATTTTTAAGAAAGGCATCCAGGGGAGGCCAGGGCTTCCGCGCGATCTGAGAGGGACCAGACCCCCCAGAGAGGGAAGCATAATAATGAAATAATTAGGAGGGGAGAGGGCGAAACTGGGAGCGGTGGAGTAGGGGGGTGGAGGAAGGGAAGGAGGATGCTGGAGCAGTTGTGGGGTTTGCTTTTTGGTCTTGGAGGGGGGAGGAGGAGGAGCTGAAAGAAGAGAAGCAGCAGACCCTGAGGCTGCCAACCACCCCCTCCTCGAAAAAATATTTTTTCCAGTCCCAGGGAAGAGGTCACCCTTCCTCAAAAAAGGGAGGGGGTGAGTCAGTCGACGAGGAAAGCAGAAAGAAATCTCCAGCGGGAGAGACACCGGTGTGCTGCCGCCGCCGCCTCCTGCCGCCACCGCTGCCTCTTCGCTACGTCCAGCCCGAGGAAGAAGCGCAGGGAACGCCGCTCTCGCCGCCGCCGCTAACGCTGCCGCCGCCGCCGCCGCGAGAGCCCCGAGCCGGAGGGTGCACGGCGTGTCCCCGGGCGGCTGCAGCGGGAGCCCGGGCACAGCCCCATCCTCCGCCCGCCCGCCTCGCTCAGCTCCCGCTCCTCCCCCTCCGCGGCCAGCCCACTGCCGCCG